GTATGAGTTGTCAGAGAACATATTCGGACATGGGGCTTGATTTATGAAAAACGCTGATGATACTGACGGCCGTAACCAAGCAGACGACAATAGTGATTGGAATGGCTATATTGCTGATAAAATGACTGTAACCGTTTCCGTGGCAAGTCAGGCTAAAATTTGCCTTGTGTGCTGCATCAACATGTTTTTTCCTGCTTGTGCATAAATACAAATGTCATATGTTACGTTGTACTGCATCAACATGTCTTTTCCTGCTTGGGTAGTAGTACAAATGCCACGTTTACTTGTATTTTTATGATGCAAATTTTATTCACGAAAGTGTAATATTTGCAATTGCTCATGATAATGTTTGTATTCTTGTATATGATTTGAGTGCAAAACAAAATTTTATGAGTATCCTGGCTCAGTTGATAAATAAATAAAAAAAAACTATGAAAATGTATTGAAAAAGGCACTTAATTTACAATCTATTTGTAATTATAAAAGTAAGTAGGTGGAAGCCTTCTAGTCAGCTAGCCTGCCTGTATATTGTGCAACTCTCTGACGTGATGCAGGTTTTTAGGTACAGCATGCGTCCCATGAAATTTATTATAACTCAAAAACTAAATAAGATGTCTTTCTGAAATTTTCTGATATTGTTTACAACATATTTCGAATGTTTATGAGAAAATTTCAACAAATTATTTTGTTAAGTGAAAAAGAATGTGCATACTGAAATTAAAGTTTTGTTTTTTACTTCTCTTCGAAAAAAGCAAGTCTCATATTTAAACTGCTGCTATTTCTACCTAAATTACCAAATGTGAATAAAACTGATATGACTTTAAAGCTTACATTCTTGGCTTTCTAAAAAAGTACAGTTCTTAGGTGTTTTGTAGACAAATGAATATATTATCATTGATTAAATGAGGCCGCCTGTAAAACTGAGTGCATACGGGTAGAAGGCTCAGGACCAAGGGCACTTTCTAGGTCAGATGCTGTCAGGCTCTATGGGGTAAATGTGTCTGGTTTAGTAAATTGCCAACGCTTGGCAACATTTTTAGTTGCATTGATGCACGAAATGCTCTTACATCAGCAAATTGCTTTTGGCTGTCACCTTATAGTCCAGGAATTTGGTGAAAAATTGTGCATTTTTTACCTACAAGCATGAAATTTGGCACACTTATGGACAATGAAATTCTAAGCAAATTTGGATATATGGGCATGTCTGAAAATTCCAAAATGGCCGTCAAATCCAAGATGGCCGCCAAAATACCTTTTCAAATTAAAACTTCAAGTACATAGTCTTCTAATAACTTAAAATATCATATAAAGGTTAGAAAACCCCATGGTATAAATCCTTCAGGTGTATAGAATCCAAAATGGCCGCCAAAAGTAAAAAAGCAGACCATTTATTCAAGATATCCATTAGAATGGTGAATTAATCATGCACTTAAAACTACAAGCAAAAAGTTTGACACGTTTGTGGAAAATGAAATTCTGATCAAGTTTGGATGTATGGGCATGTCCGAAAATTTAAAAATGGCCGCCAAATCCAAGATGGCCTCCAAAAATACAGCTTCTAATTAAATCTTCAAGTATATAGTCTTTAAAGGGCTTAAATATCATATAAAGGTTGAAAAACACCACAGTATGAATTCAGCATCTGCTTCTTTAGGTGCATTAAACCCAAAATGGCCGCCAATATTAAAAAGCACTCTACTAATCCAAGATATCCAGCATAGTGGTGAATTCATCAAAAACTACAAGCATGGCATTTGGCACAGTTGTAAAAATGGATTCCAAGCACTTTTGGATATATGGGCATGTCTAAAAATTCCAATATATGGCCCCAAAATCCAATATGGCCGCCACACATACCCGTTCAAATTAAAACTTCAAGTATATAATCCTGTAATAGCTTAAGATAACATTCTATGGTTAAACAAAACTATGGTATGCATGAAGTATCAATATATGCTTCTTTAGGTGTATAGAAATCCAAAATGGCCTCCAAAAATTAGAAAACAGACCACTCACAGCAGCAGTGTGGTGAATTCATCATGCATTTAAAACTACCAGCATGAAAATTGGCACAATTGTAGAGAACAGGACTCTAAGCAATTTTGTTATATAGGGACATGTCTGAAAATTCTAATATGGTCACTAAAATCCTTTGAAAGTAAAAATTCTACTTCATAATCTGACTTATAACAATCTTTAATCTTTTTTCGTTTGAAAACAGAGCTCAGATTAGATGAATTATCAAAAACCCCTCTTTTAGTTACATTAAGATCCAAATGACCATAAAAAGTGGAACAGGACTCCTTTTGGTCCAGTTGTGACACCACATGCAGCAATTATGTAAATGCCAAGGATATGAAAATGTCAAGGTATTTTCACAAATAAGTTTTCAAGTAGGTGTTGCACATTTTATGGGCGATTAACCTATTACTTTAGTAAATGGACAATATCTCAACAGAGGATAACAGCTAGCTACACCGACATTTCTACTTATTTGGTTGAATAATAGCTTTAGTTGTGTTTCCCTCAGCTTTCCCAGAATTTGCCTAGAGCTATAGCTTCTACATGTAATCCACTTTCCCCAACAAAATACCAAGAGGCATTGGTCATTTTTAACACCAGAAAGCATCAGTTTACATGCATGAGGGGCAATAGGAATATGAAAGTGTGGTAGGGCATATAAGTACATGTAGGGTACAAGTGTGAGCCCGTATAGTACCCGTCTTCCAGTGCTTCTGACTCCCCTCACCACAGTTAGCAATTGCACACATAACTACAAACAAATGTGGTAGGAGCTACCTGCGAAAGGTAAGTTTTGTTATCTGGGTAAGTGAATACTCCCCATGGCTTCATTCTGGATTGTCCCACACAGTCAATGATGCCGGAAATCTCGATGAATTTTTACCTTTCAAAGTCCATATTGCACTAATTTTTTGGTATAATTCTCAGAATACACCCTGAATTTTTGAAGCTTTATGTATTAACTTTCTGAAGCATTTTAATTCTTTTATTATCATGTTCCGTTATTTGAAAGTATAAGTTTGTAACTAAACAAGTTGCCAAATGATCAAATGAAAACCAAAGTTTGGCGTCTACCAGTACTTCTTTTTAGTGCACGAAGTTTGAAGCCTGCAATGCAACTCTTGGGTACAGCACGTATCAACACCTGCCCTCTGTTTGGGGTATTTCTTTGCTCATAAATTTTCACTAAATTCTCGGTAGCCATTACTGCAAATGTACTAAATCCATTTCTTAAAATTAGAAGCTTTTCTAATTTACTTTTGAAGCACAAGATTACATCATAAGATTACCGAGTGCAAATGTGCCCCTGCTTTTAGTACTTTACCAATGCACTACACCAAATTGTTGAGACCTGTATGTTTGATTAGCTGTCATTTTGTTATATTTGTGAGCATTTGATGAAGCGCCATGCACTGAGCTAGCTGAAGAATCATAAACAACAGACAAAATTAGTACACCCCAAGCTTTTATTAAATTTAGTTATTTTTGTGTTTCTTTCACATTTTATGGATTTTGCACGATACCTTTTTTTCTTAGAAAGGGGGAGTTGCCCATGAGTGCCATATAAGTAGATCGCTAACTTGGAATTGATCTAAATGAGAATCCAGAGCAAAAAGCCAAACTACTTATTTTGGTTTAGCAAAAGAAGGACTGTTTTCAGTACATAATAAATGTATCATGCTTGATGCTTTTTTACAAACTCTGTAGAATAGCTCCTGCACAAGTAGGAATATGCTGATTATACAGGTAGTTGCAAAGCCCACGTGCCTTTTCACGAGTGATTACAATTCAATACTTGTGGCCCACTGACTTTTGGAGGCCATTTTGGAATTTTAAAACCTAAAATGGCAGATACTGATGCTACATACATACTATGGTATTTTATAACCATTAGATGATATTTTCATCAAAGACTATACAAATAACTTTCACCTTGAAAGGGTATTTTGGGGGCCATATTGAAATTGACTGCCATATTGGAATTTTCAGACATGCCCCCATATCCAGTGTTGCTTAGAATCATGTTCTCCACAACTGTGCCAATTTTTATGCTTGTAATTGTAAGTGCTTGATGATTTCACAAAACTACTGCATATTTTGAGTAAGTAGACTGCTTATTTTACTTTTGGAGGCCATTTTGGAATTCCATACACCTGTAGAAGCGGATATTGATAATTCATTCATAGCATGATATTTTTCAGCTATAAAATGATATTTCAAACCATTATAGGACTATATATTAGAAGTTTTCATTGAAAAGAGTATTTGTGGCGGCCATATTGGATTTGGCGGCCATATTGAAATTTCCAGACATGCCCATATATCCAAAATTGCTTAGAATTTCATTCTCTACCACTGTGCCAAATTTCATGCTTTAGTTGCCGTAAAAATGCAGAAATCCTAGCTCGGAATATTTTTTCATATACATGAAAGATTTTATACAAGTAATGTCTCATAACTACATGACTTTGTCATCTCGGGTCTGCAATTGACCATATTTGCATCTTAACTGGCCAATATTTGCTATAGTATACAAAATTAACTCTGAAAAATAGCAAAGACAGGTTGTGTCTGATAAAGCATAAATCAGTAGCATAATGAATAGTGAATCTACATTAAAAGTCTCGTCACAATGACGTCATATGCAAGGAAATCATCTACAACAACCAACAGTACATCTACGTGAGAATATAATTTCATAAAATATATACTATCATACAATTCCATAACTCCCTTTTTCTAAAATTATGATATTGTGATTCATTTGGTGGGTTGCCTTTTTTATTTGTTTCATAGAGAGAATATTGGTCTGTTCTTCTATACTGGTATTCCGTGTTAAGTAAAAAACGGAGAACACGGACGATCTGCATGACATATGACATATGACATGTGACATATCTGACTTAGCCAATCAGAGTGCACGGATTTATAATACATGTATAGTCGACCTTTACTTATATAAAACGTGAACATTTGAAGTTTGATCTCGGAATACCAGACAAAGAGCGTAGGTGCCCCAAAGCACAGGCATACTCTATTTTTTGGTCTTGATTGACACCATCATGTTTGGAGATTCACTGTTTGCAGTGTTGGTTCTGACGTCTTGTATTAGCATTGGAACCGCGATGCCAGGTAGAGTACATTTTTTCATGTTACTCCCCCAGCATCACTGCCCTCTTGGCTCCTTTTTATGTTATATGTTTCACTGTTTTTAGGGGCTGGCATTTTTCCATCACTGTATGGGTGCAGATGTGTGTGTGTGTGTGTGTGTGTGTGTGTGTGTGTGTGTATGTGTGTGTGAAAACACGCGTTAATGTTCGTCCTTCCGACTTATCATGATAGACTACTAAGGTGAAATCAAATAATTATGGTCTCGGGTATTTAATTTAATATATGCTTTATTCATACTTTCTGCACCAAACCGAGCTGGTGAAAATGTACAGAGATAAAGTAATAGTAACAATAATAATGATGATGATAATAATAATAAAATACATAGTTGAATATCACCAAAGTTACATTGTTGAAATGCACCATTATTATACATTCAGTATTTCATAATCATAAGCTAGGTGCGGTCTTAATGCCGAGTCAACTGCTCACAGCACTGATCATACGCTAGCATCACACTTCAAGTATTGTATACATGACTAAGATTTAGATATTAATTATGCACGTGCCTGTTTTCTACTATGTGAAACAAACCTTCATATGTATAGTAATTATTTATACATCACAAAGTGGAAGATATAGCACAGTTTCTTTTGTTAAAAGCGAGGTTAAGGAATTTGGCCAAAGATATTATCACTGTCTTATTTGGGTTGTTCATTATGAAGGAGAATTTATCTTTGTTGTTTAAATGTGTAAAGCATGTATGGGCGCTTTGTACTATTTGAAAGAGTTCTTTTCTATATTCTGTATACAGGGGCATGTAATTAAAAAGTGCTCCTCATCCTCCATAACTCCAGAGAAGCAAATTTGGCATTTTCTTTTTTCAACTGGTGTTGATGTACCCTTCACATGGTTCCCTGTCTCAATGTGCATATTGTGGCTGAATGATACATATTTGTTTGTTCAGTAGTGGATTTGGATATGCCTTGAAATAAATTCTTAACTCAGCTAATACGGAGTAAACAATTTTGTATGTTTTGGGGGTATAAATAGCAAGGGTTCTCATCATCAACAGCATGCTTGCGCTCGCTGTAAATTAAAATAGTCATTAACAGTTTTAAATGCAGAAACAAGTATAAACGTTCTTCGCCTGATTTGAGCGACATACTGTATACAAAATCAAATAAGAGCTTGGTCTTAGACCATTAAACCAACCGAATGCGTTTAAAGGCTGCAAACTTCTGGTCTTATCTCTTTTTTGTCTCATCCCCAACATTATGATGTAACAAAGCTTATGTTTACCCACGGAAAAATATAACAAATGTAAAGTATCTGGACTTGACACAAAATCTATTTTCAATTATGAAATACCCAAAATGACAATTTAAAAAAAATAGACTACGATGATTTAATACGAAACTGCAATAGGCGTACCGTCGGGGTGAGCACCGGACAACTTTTTAACGGACCAATTGTCTCAGCGCTTCTGCTGACGTAGGAGAGCAATTCTACTTCCTTTTTACGTGTGTCAAATTGAGATCATTCTGGACAGAATATAATAAATTGCTCTGCTTAATATGCAAAATAAAAAAAAATGCTATAGTGCACTTGTTAAATAATCTCTGTTAGTTCTGTTGATGTCACAATGACCTCGCACTACGTCATTACTGATTTTTATTTCCAGGCTTTCGGGTTATGTACTTCCCTGAGCCAGATAACGACCTTTCCTGGTCACTTCTACACACCAATACCCCCGATTTGGAAGCTTTTACAGCCTGCGTATGGATCAAAACCATCCGCACCACAAGCGGCCCCATTCTGTCCTACGGTTCAAAGAGGTCTCGTCGGAGTATTGAACTTGGATACAGCCCCGTTGGTCACGGCTACTCGGTTGTTTTGAAGGGCGTTAGCGTACTGGATAGATCCTCTGGTGCCGAAGCGCCCCTACCGGCCGATGGGAACTGGCACCACTGGTGTGTGGTGTGGAGTGGTGCCAACAGAAAGATAGATATGTATAGGGATGGTATCCACGCGCTGACCCATCCTGTTAATGTTTCACATATACCTGGAGGTAAGATCACGGTGTTTGGATGCTACCTAGTACAAAAACGCGTGCTTTAGGTTATTGGCTGTCAGAAGCTACAAGAACACATCTTGTAAACAACTTCGCCAGAATTATTGTATGTATATTTCGGCACTTAAATGTTAAGGTGATTTATTATTTAAATACATGAAGATGATGGTGTTAAAATTTAAGAATTACGGTCATATATATTCCTTGCTTTCACAAGTTATAAATGTGATCCTGTGCAGTTTTGAATGACCCATCCTCAATTTCCTTCCCAGTGTACTCTGATCTAGGGACAATCAAGGGATTAACATAGAGCCTTGCCATTGTTTTTTTTTATTATTTTGAATTATGAATAATCGTGCAAGCCTTCGATATTGTTTCTTTTTGAATACATATTTCCAGGTGGTAAGTGGTTCGTTGGACATACCCATTACGAGGCAACACCTGATTGTGTTCCGAAGCACCCATCATTCGTTGGATTAGTAGGCGGCGTCAACGTCTGGGACCATGATAAAGTCGACGTCACCGGCCTGGCAATATGTGCCAATACTAACGAGGGAAGTCTCATTTCCTGGGACACTGTCACCAAGACTAACTTCAAAGTGGCAACGTATGAGGACCATTGTTAAAATGTTACCACTACATTTACTTTTCTGTAATATGCCTTTGGTCTGTATCCTATATGGATCGCAATTAAGCATCAGCACCTCTTCCTTTTCCTTTGAAATTTTACTTTGAGATTGGAATGAACTAAATGTTTAAAAATCCACATACCAAGTTAATAAAGAATTGCTGAAAGCGACAATATGGTTTACACGTGTGTAAGGGGCCCTTTGTCGATTTTCAACAACTGGAATTGTATAGAAAATATCCGGGTGTTTTTCAACAATACGTGAGCTATTCGTTCCTACAGTTGTTTTCCACTCGAACTTGTTTCAAACATCATTATGAGAGTGTATTTTAAGTTAAAATGTATATCTCTCAGTCACCTCTTTTATTTCTTTAAATTTACTTCTATGACTGACTTGCAACTCGCCAAGTCACATATTAATCAATGAAAAATTTACTCTTTCTATCAATTACAGGCTATTACAATGCAAATTAATTTTAACGGCTGGCATGCAAGCTGCTACATATACATAGCTCTGCATATGGTAAAGCTTAATGCCAGATACATTCTAAATTGACATACTATTTTCCATCACTCAATTTTATCTGAATATATCATTAAATTATATCTAAGTCACCATGACTGTTAATTAATTGTTTCTGTAAGGGACACTATCATGTTTGGACATCCACTGCTTGCAGCGTTAGTCTGGATTTCTTGTATTGACAATGGGGTCTCATGTTCCAGATAAATATGTGAATGTAATATGTATGGTATGAATATAATTGCTGCCTTCCCATCAGGGTATATTATTACAAGGGGGGGTGAAATCCCAAGACGAAATTACGTTGGGTTCATTGATAACCCTGACGTTTGTCTTTTTCACACAAAAACACTTAAAATAATATGTGAACCGAATAACTGCCTATGTACCTTGTCTTTCTTCGACCCAAATATGCCCATGAAATATAGAACAGGTACAAAGCTTACTTATGGTCCGACTCGGCCGATTTTCTTGTGCATCAAAAAGCTTCTTTGTAAATAACGCATTATAAAACAATTCACAGATCATTAGAGAAAGAGTATTTGTTTATAGTCACAGACAGCAGAATTTTGGTCTACACTACATGTTTATCTTGAAAGATATTTGCCGGTGTTGCAACATAGAGCGTTTGTTCTGGAAGCGTTAATGTTGACTTCTTGTATTGGTAGATGATCTGTGTTTGCACGCAATACAATGAAAGTAACTTAACCAGAAAGATTACGACATAAACCCGCATGTATTTGCTTTATTGGATATAGCGTTTAACAACGTGCTGGTATTGTAGGAATATATAGCTAGAAAAAATACATTTTGTAATTTTAGGCATCGTTCTTAGAAAACATAATACAAAATGCACGAAAAGGTAGGAGGAGTGTCGCAGACTGTTATCAATATTTTGGTTCCTGTTGTTGTTTGTGCGTATGTGCCTGTATATGCAGGTGTGTCCGCGTGGGTGAATATCCACCCTTCTTACTGACCTTACCAAAAATGACAATTAAGGTTCCTCTTATATAGTGGTACGTACACCATGTAAAGGACTAGACACTTAGCAATAAGTTGAGTAAATTGTGGCTTTGAAATATATTTTAAATTGAGAGAATATGGGAGGAGCCACCATGGAACATCTGATATTGCGTGATAGGCCATAACAGAAGTGTTGTCATAAAAAAGATGAAAACATAAATGCATTTAAAACCAGAACTTTGTCATTTTTATCTTTTCATCATTGCCGATGCATGCTGGTTATCTTTGTTGGATATAATGGTTGTCAATTCAAGAGGAGAATGTAAAAACAACCGCGCAATATGTGTTTTATATTCATACAACGTTGTGCAGTATGCATTAAAAACAGGATGTGCATTAACCTTGATCAGACATAACAACAGAAAGAAAGATATCTTTACAGTCACAGACTAGAATGTTTTGGTTAACTATGTCTTTTTTGCGTGAGACAGAACCCCCGTGTATGCTGATTTACTGCTGTCGTTCTGACTTTTTGTAATGACAGTGAGGGCTCATCTTCACTGAAGGAAGTTTGGGTGTCAAAGACTAGGTTCCCATACCTATATCAATATAATAGAATCGATCCATCTCCAAGGGGCTTCTCGCTAAATTGTTTTCAGTTTAAGCGGCTTAGATATCTGGGACGCCTACGGAAGCTGCTAAACCATAATTAATTACGCCCTAGCAGCTTCAGCAGGCGTGACAGACATCTAAGCCACTTAAGGGTATTGTAACCTTGTATTATCATCCAGATATCGAAAATGTGTTTTTCCGACATTTTATTTTTACAAAAGTGCATCTAATTTTCCTTGTAATGTATAAGCATAGGCAACTCAAATTTTTTATCGTCAAATAGAACAACTTTCTATTCTGAGGTGATATACCAATCGGTAAATGGTGTACGACTGGTAACTTGAATGTGGTATTTGAGATGTTGCATGTATTATAATGCAACCTTGTTGCAATTGGTTTGCGACTGTTTGTCGAGCAATATATGCCAAAACTTCTTATTCAACTTGCAATGTGATCGCAAGCAACTGCCTGGGATTCGGCGGCGGCGTCAACGCTGGGACCATGATAAAGTCGACATCCCCGGCCTGGCAATATATGCCAATACTAACGAGGGGAGTCTCATATCCTGGGATACTGTCACCAAGACTAACTTCAAGGTCGCAACAATAAGGAGTATTGTTAAAATATTACTACTCCAATTACTGTAATATGAAATTGCATATACATATACATAGATATGAAAATCGCCTTTAAAACATTAACGCTTCTTCCTTTTGCTTTGAAGTTGTACTTTTAGATTGGAATGAACTACATTTTTCAGAATCGACATAGTTAATAAAGATTTGCTGAAAGCGACCATATGGATTCGATGTATATATGTGACCGTTTGTTAATTTTGTAATTATTGGAATTTTATATTTAAAAAAAATAATAATAATAAACATCCAGCATGTTTCTAACTAATACGTGAGCTACAGTTGAGCTACACCAACAGTGAGCTACACCTACAGTTATTTTCCACATGACCTGATTTCAAACATGAATATCACAGAATAAAGGTTAAGAAAGAGACCTAATGAGGGCGTATGTGAATTTTAAATCTATAGCTCTCCGTCATCTGTTTTATTCCTTTTAATTAACTTCTATGACTGAAATACAACTATCTTAATAAATTAAAACAAATAAATGTGCCGGACTAAGCCAGTGAATTAGTTTGGATTATTTAGAAATTAGTTAGAAAAGAAAATGGTGGATGGCAGAAAGGCTGTGGCGTGTTACCCAACCCTTACTCCCAAATGTTAAGAGAGGGGGAGGTATGCTCTTATCATACGCCCTTTTAGGAGACGGTTCTAGTGCCGCATCTACTAATTTTTTTGGCTGAGTCAATAAGCTTTGCGGTAGTAAAAATATCATTTTACTGAACAAAGGATAATTGTGTTCTTAATTAAATAAAGCATCCCACGCTCGGTTCAGCAAGACACTTGTATGTACAGGTATGTACTAGTACAACATGAAAATAATAAAAACTGTTTTAGATTCTTAAGCATACATGTACAATCTGAAATGACGTATTTTACATTTTAAAATTCTCTAGCATGACTACTTGAAGTACCAATTATTGGGAATTGTTGAGTGTAGCTAAGTGAGACTTCATTATCGTTTAACGGCGTGGAGAGGAAGAGGTACCATCCAAGGTATACTAACATGTTGCATATCGACAAAAAGCTCATTTCAACAGTTTTTCACTTCACATCTTTACTTCATCACAATAGTCGCTCCCCTCTCCACATCCTTAAATCAATCATGACGTGGTTTGTAAAATGAAATGTACGTCAAAGGTCCCATGTATCAAAAGTCAATGCCAAGCACTATCTTTATGTTTATCACGACACTATTTAGAACTGCAAGTTTGAAAATTCGCGTTAAAAACGATAATGCGTGCATGATAAAAATTACATATGTATATTGCTTCCTACTGAAAGAAAAAAACTGCTCAAAGGTTAACATAAAGTAGAACACTCAATGACAATTAACAAATATTACATTCAATTTTCACGTAACTAGAAAAGCATTTAATTTGTTCGTTCAGCTTATTTATAACTAGGGCACGTGTTTGTAAGCATTAACACAGTCACCAAAAATAAACAAGTTCCGTTTTCGGTTCCATACACATATTCATAGTATGAAATAGAATGCTTCATTATCGTCGTTGATCAGCATGCATATACAAGCATAAACACACCAATCACTGCAGAAGGTTATTCTGATGTAACATATTCACAGTACTCCTGTCCTGTACAATTGGTGTACAATAAAATGAAGCCAAATGTGCAGGCAGAATCTTCATTGTCGACTTGTCACTGGGCATTTATGTGTTAAATTTACTTGACGTGTTCGGTTATAATAACGATTGAAGGACAATCGGTAAATTTAAAGAACTATATTCGATAAACTGCGCCCTAAGCTACACATGTAGTCACTCACTATAATTTTTTTGTCGGAAAACGTAAGGTCGTACGATTCCTTTCATGCAGTTTATGAAAGTGTGCTTGATCGTTATGACATATAATTACAGTCCATTGCATCTGACACAGCCAAATAGCTTGGCATAGCCTTTCCTGACAATGGTCAATCTCAAGCCATAAATTAAAGGATTGACGACGCTATTTAAGACAATAAGAAAATTCCCAATCAGAGCAATAAGACGTGTCAAATACTGACATGTTTTATGTACACATCCTCTAAACTGGTCTACAATACTTAAACACATGTGTGTAACGCCCGGAGCCCAAAATAGCAGCATGACCACTGCCAAAATGGCAACAGTTTTCCTGGCCTTCAAAGTCGAGCGTTCACCAGTGTTTTCACTGTTGCTTCCAAGAGTAGGCGGCCCGCGACGCACATACTTCAACATTTCCCAGTGTGTATACACTACCGCCAGTGTGGTGATTACAAATGATATCAGGAACACACAATCAGTAATGAAAATGAACGTTCTTTCATTTTCAGTAACACGGGGCCCTATAGTCGTTAAACAAATGAAAATAATTGAAGCAGTCCAAGTAGTTGAGATATATATTTTAGCGTGCGCCACTGAGGTTGATGTCAAATAGTAAAATGGTGCTTTTGTAGACACATATTGGCAGACAACGAGTCCAAACGTTGCCCAAATCGTGCAAACCAACGATAAAAAAGAGATCTCATTCATAATATACCAGATGGACATGGGTCTCACTGTAGAACAGGTCGGACGTTCGATGAGCATCATGATTCCTGATAGAAAATAGAAGACCATTGATACAAAGTCCGATACTGCAACGTTTATAAGCATAATGTGGAATGCTGTCACAGGCTTCGGCATACGTGACAATGCCAGAAGTGCCGCCATATTCCCAACCACTCCACAGACAGGCAAAACTGTATGAACTATACGAAATGCGTTACTATCAAGAACATCACAGCCTGGAGAATCATATAAGGTTTTGTTTGGTGTTTCGGTCTCGTTGCCGCTGACAGATCTAAACGTGCCATTTAAAAATGTAAGAAGCGTATAACGTTCGTCACTTTCGACCTCGCTCCCGAAGTCAGCTGATATATTTGTTTCATTCCAAACTTCCATCTTTATTTCAACCAATGGCGCTGTTCTCAACAACTGTGTTTGTCAAACATGTCGCAATTTTCGTAATATTGATATCCCGGGTGTTGTCTGCGATGGAACTCATCTTTTTCGACCAGGAACAGACATACTTCGGCTCGCTTG